CATTTCACAAATTATCCATCCCCTTTTAATTAGTAGCATTTCCCCCCTTTTAAAAATAATAATAAATACGTGATAAATATAGTATCATCAAAACTTAAGGTTGCCTAACATTCTAAGAGTATGCTTGATTTAAAAGAAATAAAGATGATAGATAAATTATTTAACCAATTAAACTGTAATACTACTAAATGTTATAATTTAATTAATTTTAAAAAAATTATCTCTCTTTTATTTTTTTAAAACAAAGCATACCCTAAGTAATAAGACCAAAAATCTCATTAAAAAATGGACCAAAAGTGAAAAGTTGCCAAAGAAATTGTTCTTAGAGGGTGGAGGTATGTAATTCATTGTGATTTATTTTATTAATCCAAATTTATTTTAATTAATCTTGTTTTAAAATTTAAGTACAAAATCTCGCTTAAGTTTTTAATCATTGAAGCATTTTTAAGTGATGAATACCCTACATTTAATGTCCTATCTTTAATTACATGCATTGGTGCTACATCAAAACATTGTTACCATTCCATAAAAACAATTTTTAAAAATAAAAAATAATACACACACACATTGTTACCAAATGAAGACTTCGATAACCATTTTTGTTTCTCCTAAATCCTAATATTATTGTTCTCCAATTTGCTAAAAGAAAGTGGATTGAATACTTTCAGATACATGGCTCTAATGTCTCTCAATCATAAATCCCACCACATGAGCTCCAATATGTCCTATCAATTAAAAAGCAAATAGAAGGTACACAAAAAATCCCATTTCCCACGCTTTCTTGCTTTGCCTCTTTCAGTCTAGAGTACATTCAGTGAAACTATATATACCTAATTCACCTTCCTCACATTGGATTCTCATTGAAGAATCGCATTTTCACTCCCCACTCAGGATAGTGATGAACGCCATTATCGTAGCATTTTTTCAGGGGTAAATATTTTCTTTCTCCTTGTACTTTGGTAATGGGAAAGTCGAAGAAGATTGAGGCCTAGGATGTAGATTTTGGGCTGGCGAATCATATCCAATGTTTCTAAAAATGTTAAAAGTTGTACCAATTGAAATCTATGGGCTTTTTTTGTGCCCCATCAATGTACCAGACGAGATCTTGTTGTTTCGGGTCTTGGGTCGGGTCTAGATTGTCTCTTTCCTTTCATTCTGTTTTTTCAAAAGAGGGGACTGTTTTACTGTTTGAATTATAAAATACTCTTTTTTTTTTTGCTTTTAAAATTTAAAAAATACTTCATGAAAGTAAAAATGTATTGTTCTGAGATTTTTTTGGTAATTTTGGCGATGCACTTATGTGTTTAGTTACAAATGGGTTTAGTGCATTACTTTTGATTAAAATTTGATTCTTTAAAATGGTTACGATGATGAATTTCTTTATGAATTTTATAAGTTACATACGAGTATTTTAAATCAAATGAGTATTACATTAGAAAAAAAAAGGTTTCTATCGATTCATCAATATTTACAATTTTTTACTATGGTAGACAACTTTAGAAAAGTGGGGACTCTAAAATGGTAATGAAGTGCAAAACAGACAAAAAAAAATTAAAGAAAAAATTATTCTAAAAAAAAGAGAGAGAAGGATTATTAGGGAAAATGGGGGAAATATGATGCAACAGCAATTCTTCACGCCAAGGAAGAGCCTCAGAGAGCCAAGTAGTATGTAGATAGAAAGGGAGATTTTCCACTTTTAGCTTCTGAAATGGTTCTCTACTCCTCAAAGATTAGTGGGTGTTTTGATTAATCTCTTAAGAAAGTGATGATGGTATCAAGGTAAAGGAGCAATAAAGCATAAAAAGATTGTGTTAATAGACTCATTTTTGAGGTTTAGGGCAATCTTAAACTTGAGAAAGGTTAGTTAGAGACCCTACCTGTTTTCTAAAATTTTTTATAATTTTAAAACTTCATAATTGTAGGCTTTATTTATTAAGATAAAAATAATATATAAGACTTTTTAATTTTAAGCCTATTGATTTAAAAATATAATAGGCCCTACTCAATAATAAATTATGGTTTCGCCCCTTAATCACTTCCTAAAACTTGACTAAAGCATTTGCCTCTAGTGGCTATGACGGATTAAGCAACCATACATCACAATGAGCAAGAAAAGTAGAGAAAAGTTTCAAAAGAACAAAAAGAATTAGACATCTTTGTGGGGTCACATAGTGTGGTTATAGTTAACTATCATTTTATTATAAATTGTGTTTAATTGAATTAATATATAAGCTTTTTTTAGACAGTTAGTTATAATAATTAAAAATATTAATTTTTTAAAATGATTTTAATTTATTAAATAATAATTAATAATTAATTTATTAAATATTAATGATTAATTATTCTTAATAATTAAATTCAATTAATATTTTTAAAACAATATTATGTAAACTTAAAAAATTATTAAGTGTTCCTATCTAGACCCGGATCAGTATATAGCTAGGTTCATTTCATGACTTCATATAGACAAAAGTAGACACTCCTTTTTTCCTACCATTGTCATTATTAGTCTCCAAAATCCACTTTAACAATCTTTCAAAAGGTTTCATCCCCCAATCCTGGTTGATTAATCATTAAAACAAGGGCTTCACACTAGCTAATTCCAGTCATCTAAATAGTTGATTCAATGTATAAGATTTAAAATTTTTATTTATTTATGGCATGTGATCGGCAATGTATAGTAATAAATTCATTATAATATATTAAAACTTAGTTGCCTAACAAATTAGACTACTCACTTTTATCTCAAATTAAAATTTATAAATTAATGAGTACTAATTTTATCTTTTTTTTTTTGAACATTTTGATAAGGGGCGGGTTCGAAACCCGTTTAAGAAGAGGTAGAAATGCACCGGCTGATTTGCTAATGCCAGTGAACCTCTAGGGTCAAGTGCAAATTCTTGTTAGTATATCATAATAAAATTTCATTAAAACTAATAAGGGTAAAGTAGTTGTCATCAATCAGATAAAAAAAGAGAAAAAAATCACTGCAATATTATAGTGTTTTATTAAATTATTATTAAAAAATTAAAATAATTCATTTTTTAAAAACAATAATATTAATTTTATTTTTTCTTCATATTTTAATAAAATAAAAT